TGAAAAGTTTTGATCCGCGTTTTGAAAAATGTCCGCGAGAATTACACGAAGCTCGAGCCGATCGAAAATATATTTTTTCCGCCAGAAATTTTCACAGGACGAAAATGAAACAGTGTTCATTCATCGTACTCCAGAGTGCGTCGCGTCGTCCAGTAAACTAGTCCCTCTACTTCGGCGTTATTCTCTCGCAAGGGATGCCCGGATGGGAGTCGTCGGGCACATTCGAGCTGTCTATATTTCACCGGCGTCGAAGTTGCAGTGTGTATTCAGCTCGTTAATAGGCCGCAGCGCAGGTCCCATTCGAATTATCGGTGGCGGGAATTGACCCGTGGCGCGAAGAATTTTTCTGGCGGCTGCTGGGCCGACCGCACGAATTACGAGGCTGCGGTTCGAGCTGGATATTTGTAAGGGACACACCAAGCCGGGCCGCGGCGCTCGGCAGAAAACGGGGCGAGACAAAGGACACACGAGCGATCCTCTAAATCGGCACGTCCGTCGAGGCTCATGAATCTTGGCGAAACAGTGAAAACCCGTGCACGGTTCAGTACGCAGCAACCTGGCAGCAAGCTCGCGGCGAATGGGGTTCCTTCAACGACACACACTTGCCGATCCCCGAGTAAATTATTCCCCCCTCGGGTCAGCCTTCCGAGCAGAGAAGCAGAGAAAGCTTTCGAGTCGCGGACGCCTGACGTCTGACGTGGTGGCGCATTTTATTCAAATAATCGCGACGACCGAACACACCCTTACATTACTCGACAGAACGGCGCGGCGACCTTAAAACTACCGATCGACGATTTACTGCTGTTCGAAACGCGCGAGCCAACCGTCGCCGACTCCGCCGTACAAGCAAAAGTATTTTCCTTCCCGTGATTCATATAGTAATCGGCTCACTCCGTTATCTTCGATTTGCATGATTTTCACCTATAGCCGACTCGTATAATGTTTATTGCGTGCTCTCGGATACGCCGGGTCAACCGTTTCCGTGCGCCTTTTCTTTTAACAAAATCACGGTTTCTGCAAATTATGTCGAACGACTTCATTCTCCGGCGAAGTTGGAAACTTTCTACACAAGTAACGGATACGTTTCTGGTTCGATTTTATATGAGACAATGGATTTTATGCATACGTACAACAGTTACATTTTCGACAGTTTCTTCGATATAGACAAATTTGTCGATGCAAAAATTATTTCGGTCACCACTCGAGTGCGAAGGGTTAACTTAACCCTAAACCTATTGAGCACTAAAGATGACGGATGACTTCATTTAGATATCTTGCTGTTTTTATCACAATGCGTGCTTCAGTTAATATTAATCGTTTTCTACGGAATACACTTTATATATACTTTGGTACATCGCAAAGCATTGTGTACATTTTATCCCTTTGCACTCGAAGCTATTTTAACTGAAAATATAAAATCATTTTTCTAACTTATAGTATTTCTACTTTATGTGACAAAATGCATTTTATGCATATGAAATTGACTCTTGGGACTCGCACAACAGTAACACCCTGAACAATTTTTTAAATCTAAACTTTGTTAATATCAAAATTATTTTAAAAGGTGATATGACAAATTTTAGTGGTGCCTCAGAGTCACAACACAGAGTGCAAAGGGTTAATATAACGCAGAACATTATACACTTTAGTATAACGTAAAACATTATACACGTTATATCTTTTAAAACGTTATATACTTTAGTATAACGCACAACATTATACACTTTCTATAATGCAAAACATTGTGCACATTAGCGCATACTAGACACACAGATGTTGGTTTCAGTATATTCGTTCTGAAAGTTTAGCGGTCGTCGTTTTCTCGTGGCAAATCTTTTCGTGAAATCAATCTTCTCGTAACACTCATCAAAATGTGCGGTTCGCGTACACATATGTATATTACATGGGGACCTTCGACGACGATGCTCAGGATTAATATTTCCGATACGACACAGGCTCATTGCATTTGCAGTTGGAAACTGCTTCCTCTACACTTGGTACAATCACCCCATATGAATCATTAAAGAAACAATACTCAAGGCAGTGGCGTATCTATCATATGCGTGGGTGGTGCAGCTGCACCGACACGGTTTGAACCTGAAGAATCTTGACCGTGAGTTTTACGGTTTTTCCATTGCCGGTGGTTGTTTGTTGTTGTTTATTCTAACCGAAATGTTTCTATTATCTCTAAGTGCCGGCTTCTCTTTCATTAACATCGAGAAGCTAACAGACGTGATTTCGTGATACGTGAGTCGACTTTATGTTGGATCTTTTAGTGTGCTCGCACCTCCGCAGTTATACAGGCTTGTTGAAGCTCGAATAGATGGTGTAATGTTAGCGAGCAGCGGATCTTTAAGTAAATTAAAAATTGTGAAACTTTATTGTAAGAAATGTAAATTTGATAAAAATGTCTTTCTTCTTGTAATAATCGTAATATATGTTGAAAATATATATATAAATAGCGTAACAATATTCTCAAAATTCTTTCAATCTGCTTGTAGTTTCGCATTTGACCTATTCAATTTTATCATAAATTCATAAATTACGCATTCTAAATGTTAGTAAATGAACTATTTATCTTTATCAACAATTTATAAAATCCTCGGTTCGTATGTTCTATAATATTAGTAATGAGCTACAACAAGGAACGTAGATTTTTAATTTGAAAGGAACTTTCTGCCGCAAATATTCGTCTAAAGGTGCACGGATGAAGTTGCGGTAAAAGGCACATCAGAAAATTGCGCAAACGATACATTGTTTGAGTGACTGCATTCTGGCTTCTATAAAAATCTGAGTCGATGTTCTTTCGACATTAACGTTAATTACGTTGCGAGTCTTGATGCGTTTATGGCACGTGCAGATTTTTAAGGTAGGAAAGAAAACGTATGAATTAACAAGATCTAAAGCATTTTTATTTTCTCTTTAAAATGCGTAATCGTTCGCTTGCCGAAGGAAACTTTTCACGAATTCTAATTTTCGTAAAATTCCGCATAAAAATGCGAAATTGCGCAAAGATCCATTTTGTCGCTCGCACTCACAGAAAACTTAGCCTGTTTCTCTTAAGATGATTTCGTTAAGCGTAGAAACAGTTCTCACATTCCCACTAGAGAGAAAAAGCATTAGAAAACAAATCCATCCGAATCGAAGAGATCCGGATTCACGATTCGAAGGATCGCACATCACAGCCCCACCCCTGTACATTTCTTTTCGTCTCCCACCCACAGCTATTCAACGCGTCTGAAACGCGACATTAAACCGACACCTCGTATCGATCTTACTTATCGATGCTATAGTTCAACCGGCGAACAGTAGCGTGTCCCGAGCGTATCACAGGCCCGGTGGTTTGTGCCTGTGAGCCAGGTATTATTAGCAAAAAAATGCTGGCTGCTAGCCGGCCGAACTTTATTGAATGAAAATGCCGGGCAACGTTTTTGTCTCCGTCAGCATCTTTCGCGGACCGAATGAAACAATGGCTATTATGTGGAACACTCGCGTGCCTCCGTATACATATATGCATGCGGACACGTGTGTATTACATGTTTTTCAATTTCCACACATGCTCGCGCACGAAACTCCGTTGGGACCACCTTGCACACTTGCGCACGACGCTCGTGTATGTATACATATAGAAATCTGCCAGCGGAGGGGGAGGAGGTTGTGGAACGCGCACGGACAGCTGTTCGTACTATTATACCCCGCATGGTCACATTATGCCTTAAGGACAATCGTGGGAATTCCATTAAGTGGCCTTGAATGGTTCATTCATGTCGATCAACTCTTTTCCTAACAGGGTTGACAGATCAATCGGCCGGAGCACGAGCGATCCCCAGGATTTCTCTTGCTACGTCTCTCCGCTCTGCTCCGCTCCGCGCCAAGCGGAGCCGAGCCGAGCCGAGCCGAGCCGCCTCGTCTTCAACGAAACTGAGACGCCAGAGTCAATTACCTTGCCGTGTACGCTGTACGAATCGATCTCTTGTTCTTGCTGCGCTCCGCTCTCGTTGCTTCGGTATCGAACGAATCGAATGCTATTCCTTCCACATCGTTTATGGTCGTCCACTTCTCTCTCCTGCCCGGGGGGCTCGCGACAGTCTTGCCTAAGAGGTCATGTCTAGTTAACAATCTCAAAGAATCCTGATCTCAAGAGTCGAACGTTAATCGACTTCTTTCTTAAAAAACGTACCGCGATTCAAAGTCTATCGCACAATCTGTAGCAGTTATTTAGCTGCAAAGTCTCAATAGCAAACCCACCGAGCACTAAGAACGACTAACTCGGATTGCCTCATAACGATGACAAGATCGAGTGTATTTCACCATTTTTATCATAATGTATGCGTGCATTGAAATATTGATTCAATCGTTTCCTATCAAAGAGTCTTTATAATTCGAATAACTTAAGCTGATGAAAAAGAATTTCGTAAGATGAATAGATGAACAGCATCGATTACTTTTTTAACGTTCTAACGTTTTACGTGAAGAAGTGTCCGAGTTGCAGTCTATCTTGCAGAAGTTGCTTCCTTAAAGACGCTTGGCCCGAAGATAACAGACAATTTTTTAACAAAAAAGCTGTTCATGTACTGGATACAATTATTCATTAGTATTATTCTGTTCTCAAGATTTTGCGGCTGTTTCGAAGGAGTTACCACCAGTTCCATCATAATATAATAATAGAGTGCTAATTTAGAAACGTCTGAATTCGCAGCCCAATAAAATCGTTTTCCGAACATAAATTTCATTTTCGCACATTATCGTATTTAATCGCGAACGCGGTAAAAATGGCCGTGCTTTGTAACGCGACTTCAAGCACCTTCCGGTGTGTTTTTCAAATAACAGTTTATCGTGATCTGTACGAGAAGCGAGTATCCGTTCAAGCGAAACGTTAGACTGCCGCGCGATTTTATTGGCCGCGCGAGCGCAACCGGATGTGCAGCGATTTCACCGTTAACTGTGTGTGTGTATAAACCGGAGAACTAATGATTAATAAATCGTTTTCGAATTTATAGGATGCTGGATAATTATGACAGGGGTGAGGTGACACCACCACCGGTGAGCAGTTATGGCGGTTCCCCCGGACTCTTGGCACTTCATTCCTCGCTTTATGCGACACCCACGTCGAGGGCTTACGACATCGAGTCGAATATCGATGGCAATGACAGCTCCATACCCATCGATACCCAAATCATTTCGGTACGTGTTCACGTCTACGGCGGCGCGTTGCTCTTCGAATAGGTTACCATATATGTATTTTTCACACACGAGACCATTCACTCTGCTGTCGAACGTGGCGCCCAACATACACCTACACCAAAAGCATGCAGCTATTTTGCAAGCTTTCTTGATGTCATCTTTGCGAACTGTATGAAATCAAGAGATCGACGTTGCCACGGGAGGATCGGAAGGATCAAGTCGAATGTGAATTTGTCCTTTTCGAAATGAATCCTGCGGCACTTTATAAATCCGTAAAATATCATTAGACTTCATGACATTTGATGTACAGTAACGTTAATTCATTAATTTATTTATTTTAATATTTTAATGGGGAATGAACCTTTCCTGCTATGAAATATAAAAAGGTGAACAAATGGTTAAAAAATTAAACTCACTAAAATAAAGAAATATTTCCAAGATACGAGTACTATTTGTAAAAAATTCGATTCCTTCCAACAGTGACTTTTCGAAACTTGTAAAGAAGTGTAGCTGGTTATCGTGGTTACTAAAATTAACTTTTCATTTATCGATTAAGACATATTAAAATTTTATATTCTTTTATTTTGTTTATTTTGTAATCACGAAAATGAATGAAGATTTAATTAACCTTATATCTGTCGAACAAGACGTATTATTTTTTCTATAAATATGAAAGTTAAAGAAACATTTTTGTAACTTCTTTTGTCATTCCAACCAATTATAATTGTTTGAAACATTTTTTATTCACTGTCTAGTAAATCAGTCAGCCTAAAGTCTTGAACAAATTCAACTTGTTTCGATGTGAAAAAGTTATCGCATTGTAAAAAGCGTTCGATAAAGGCGACGTTACTCGCTGTACATTAAAATCTCATGCTTTTACTGCGTGAAACTATCTGCGATCATTTCAATTCCCAGTTTCTTTCTAGAACATGTGATTGCACGGAAACGACCGAGGCGATATTGTTAATTGAAAAGTTTTAATTTCTTGAACACTGATACCGTTAAGTAATTCATATTGTTCTAAGAAAGTTAGCATTCACAGAAAACTATCAAAGAGGAATTAATAGGTTCTATGGGAAAGAACACAATTGCACTTTCGCATTCGCTGTTTGAATTTTTATATGAGCCAGCGTGCAATAGAAATAATAAATACGATTAAAGCGTGGCTTGAATGTCTAATGATTTTGCTATTTTTTTATTAAGATTATATTTCGCTTAAACTCTACAAAGATTCTGGAATGCCAAAGCGTCCTTGGTTTCGACTTTTCATTCGCTGTTTATTGTCCACTTCCTGGACTGTTTGCCAGATGACGTCGCGTAGGTACAAAAACACGCACCTGAAAACGCGATACGATCATCGAACAACGTTACATCGTAATTAAAGCCTGCGCTCGGCACAAAATGTACCGCGGAAGCATAAATGCTTGAAAAGGCATCATCCCAAGCCAAATACCGACATATATTATTTAAACAGTTACCTCGATCGTTTTTCTCGGGCGCAACGCATCCAGCTCGCATTCACAGTGAACCTTTCTATGCACCCTCGAAATCTATCAATCCCACGAATCCCCATTATCGCGCGGTGCATTATTCCCGTCTATCTATTCGATCTCACGCGCATTATTCATTTTATTACATTACAATACAAGTCTGTTGGCCTCGTGATCACCGGGTTTTTCACTCAGTATTGTTGCCGCGCCACGTTCAACCACTATTCATTAGCCGGTCGATTAATATCTCCCGGTAATTATGTATTAATAAGCAAGAATCGGGCGCAAACATCAAGCTCGACTTTCCCCTATTTGGACTAATAAGCTCGTAAATAATTATCAAGTATGCGGTATAGCGGAGGGAATTAGATGATGATTTCTATTGGTGATTCACTGGTCGATCGCGTTCGGGAACGCTTCAGATACCAGGAATGCTATCCGGACCGGCTCAGCAGCGTTTGGAAGACATGACCTGGCTGGCTTCCGGGCCGTCCCTCGAATATCAACAAGGAATTTCGCCGATTCCCGCGGGAGTGAAGATGTGCCATCCCGGTAGCACGGCCCAGAGAAGCCTCAAGGAGCAGCGGATACGACGTCCCATGAACGCGTTCATGGTCTGGGCAAAGGTCGAGCGCAAGAAGTTGGCCGACGAGAACCCCGATCTTCATAACGCCGATCTCAGCAAGATGCTCGGTAAGTTTTATTTGCGATTTACGAACCTTCGCGCCGTTTTCTTACACGCAATCTAACACCGGACTAGCCGAAAGGTAATGTTGGCATTTTCAGCGTGAAACAGGTGCAATTGTTTCTACGCCCAGGACTCGGGTAGCCTTAATATTTCAGCAATATGTGATGCAACGTGTCAATGAGAGCGGAGATCTCATCGGTGAGAGTGAAATCTTTTTTACGACGAATCTTAAAACGTAGAGTATATCTTATCGGTTCCAAATTAAGAGAAACACTAGAAAGTTTGGTCGAAGCGAACTTTGTTTAAGGTAAAATTACCTGTTATGGTTCAGGGGGTATAAGATTATAATCGATTTTATTGCAACTGAAAAGTGTTGTTCTTGAATATTTAAGCTACTGTTCGATAGAACGGTGTTTCTAGATAACGTGATGATTTCTGAAATATTTATTTAGTATGAGTAAGAAATGATACGAGTAACCTAATAAAGCACGAACATGTACCTATCTCATGGAACACCGCTTTCGTACCATGTCTTCGTGTTCAAAAAATTGGAGTACACGATATGGAATAACCTGTTCTTCCTTAGAAACACTTGTATTGGAATAAACATTTTCCTATGCAGGTGATTGTTGCATAACAGTATTTGCGTGAGCAAAATAAAGAAGAATGCTCAAAGAAATGTTTAAAGAAAAATATGAGCAAGATTTGTACTACTGTTTCAAAAAGAGATCGCAATCGAGCAGTGTTCCATAATAGGTACTTTTACCTTTTAAATCTGTACGTTTGGGTTCTACTTTTGTTTTATCTTATGAGTTAGGAATAATATTTTGCGATGAAAACGCCAGATACGGTTTCCTGCAGGAACATCATGATCCTTTGAATTTGATCAATCTCGAAATACACGTGATTCGGTCAAGAAAAAGGTTTGCGTACTATTTCGAATGAAATCTTCGAGATCGATTACTTTGACAACTCGCCAACTTCCCAGACGTTTTCCGACTTTCGTAACAAACGGCGAGCATTCGTTTCTTCGAAAGCGCAGTTCCAACGGAACCGTAACCACATGTTCTTGTTTCGAGGAACGTTTTGAATTTGACACCGCGATCGAACGCCGCGTAATGAAGTAGGTTGCCGCATACAAAGAAGCTGAAGAAGCGTTGAAAATAGAAACTAAACGAGCGGAGCCGTAGAAAAACCCTTTTCTCCTGAAAAACAGGTCACGAGATAGCTGTGGGAATAAGAAAGTCGGAAAAGTCTGTTCGCGGTGATGGTGTTGTTATTAATTTAATTACTCGTCGCACGATCAAACGTGAATAGAGATCCATAGCAGGGAGAAAGGGGAATAATCAGAGTGCCGAGCGAATTTACTTCGTCGTGAACGTTGTTGCATCGTTAAAAGAACCGCCGAGCATATTTCTAGTTCGTCGCGATTTGTAAATTGATCATTTCAATTCAGTGACAGAGAAGCATTGAACGGACGCTTCAAAAGCCGATCAGTCCACTTTTCTTTAGAAATGGGTTACACAGTGCAAGCACATCTTCGTCGTAGGATTTCTCGATCGATAAATCAATATAGTCGATTTCTTCATAAATAAGCAATAGATAGCTGCACTTATATTGTCCACGGCATGACTAAACGAAATTGTCCATTAGGAATAATTTTTCCTAAGAAAACATTCATATTTTTCTTTCGTTTCTCTTCTGGTTACGTTCATTTGTATGTCATTTTATAATAGAAATTGTGCTTTGTACTATTAGTGGCACTGTTATTTTTATACTAATTTGCAAAATCCAGATTTAATTAAATTTCAAGCTTAATGGACTTAGACTGATCGGCTTCTGAGTCGTCCATATATTCTAATTCGTTCCTCGCGATTTTTAACTATTCAGTCGATAAATTCGATTCAATGGCAGAAGCACGAAGAGGACCAACAAAAAAAATAGCGAAGCCGCGGGATTTCAGATTGTTGATGCAGCATCGCAATCGTACGTTCGTTTATAGTGCCACACGGGTTTAATTAGACCTCAGGCAACGCGACTTCAACTGCAATCCTTCCGGCCGAGATTTCCTTCCCCGTAAGCACGTAGTTTTATGCCCATCTGAGAAAATTACAAAGATATCGAGTAGCGCAATTTAATACGTCGTAAATTCACTGTCGCGACTCGAAGTGCGTTTGCTTCCTTACGTAGGTGCCAACGCGGTGCATTAATATTAAAAGGCATATGCGCGATTGAATGTCGAGAGATTTAGCCTTCTATCATCGTCGTCGTTTTTCGATTAAGCTGTCCGGCGATACTTGTCCTTCTACGAACCCTTATAGGGATGTATATTCCGCTACGACAATATTAATATTTCCTTTCGTTTCGAAATTAGTTTCCGCCGTTTGTCACGATACTAATGGATATATTTATATTTAGCTAGACCTACGTATTTCGCCATTTGCATGGTCATTTGAATTAGAAAATTCTTTGGATTGTTAAGGCTAGGTTTACAGAGCACTGGAAGCAACTATGATTTCTTATTTCGTGGAGCTAAGGATAACATACTCGTTCGAGTTTTTGGCGATTTTGATTGCAAATCAATTCCCCACGAATGTGTTCTTTGCAATGCCAATAATTGTAAACTAACAGTTTGTAACCCGTAACTTTGACGGGTTTCGTAAATTTAGTATTAACCCTTTGCACTTGAGTGGTGACTCTGACGCACCACTAAAATTGTTACACCACGTCCTAAAATAATTTTTACACTATGAAAACTTAGATATAAAAGTTTGTTAAAAGTCTAACTGTTGTATGAGTCGCAAGACTCAATTTCATATGCATGAAATGAACTTTATTACGTAAAATGGAAATATTATAAGTCAGAAAAGTTAATTTAGATTTCCAATTAAAATGGCTTCGAGTGCAAAGGGTTAGAACCGCACGTTACCATGGAGAATCTTCTCAACATACAATTTTATGAGTGCACGCCATCAATTCATTATACTCTTACAATGACTTTCTTCGTTGTTCTATTACTTGGTGATTACTACAATTTTAAGAACGTGTTCTACCCGTTCGAATGACAGAACAGTTTTCCAACATGATTCGCTACTCTACATAGCTATTTTTCTTGATCAAAGCCTCTCGGATCATGACAGTCACTGTCATCCGACAGTCACTATTAGAATCTTTATTGGTCGTAAAAATGGTTGCAGCATTGNTTAGAAATGGGTTACACAGTGCAAGCACATCTTCGTCGTAGGATTTCTCGATCGATAAATCAATATAGTCGATTTCTTCATAAATAAGCAATAGATAGCTGCACTTATATTGTCCACGGCATGACTAAACGAAATTGTCCATTAGGAATAATTTTTCCTAAGAAAACATTCATATTTTTCTTTCGTTTCTCTTCTGGTTACGTTCATTTGTATGTCATTTTATAATAGAAATTGTGCTTTGTACTATTAGTGGCACTGTTATTTTTATACTAATTTGCAAAATCCAGATTTAATTAAATTTCAAGCTTAATGGACTTAGACTGATCGGCTTCTGAGTCGTCCATATATTCTAATTCGTTCCTCGCGATTTTTAACTATTCAGTCGATAAATTCGATTCAATGGCAGAAGCACGAAGAGGACCAACAAAAAAAATAGCGAAGCCGCGGGATTTCAGATTGTTGATGCAGCATCGCAATCGTACGTTCGTTTATAGTGCCACACGGGTTTAATTAGACCTCAGGCAACGCGACTTCAACTGCAATCCTTCCGGCCGAGATTTCCTTCCCCGTAAGCACGTAGTTTTATGCCCATCTGAGAAAATTACAAAGATATCGAGTAGCGCAATTTAATACGTCGTAAATTCACTGTCGCGACTCGAAGTGCGTTTGCTTCCTTACGTAGGTGCCAACGCGGTGCATTAATATTAAAAGGCATATGCGCGATTGAATGTCGAGAGATTTAGCCTTCTATCATCGTCGTCGTTTTTCGATTAAGCTGTCCGGCGATACTTGTCCTTCTACGAACCCTTATAGGGATGTATATTCCGCTACGACAATATTAATATTTCCTTTCGTTTCGAAATTAGTTTCCGCCGTTTGTCACGATACTAATGGATATATTTATATTTAGCTAGACCTACGTATTTCGCCATTTGCATGGTCATTTGAATTAGAAAATTCTTTGGATTGTTAAGGCTAGGTTTACAGAGCACTGGAAGCAACTATGATTTCTTATTTCGTGGAGCTAAGGATAACATACTCGTTCGAGTTTTTGGCGATTTTGATTGCAAATCAATTCCCCACGAATGTGTTCTTTGCAATGCCAATAATTGTAAACTAACAGTTTGTAACCCGTAACTTTGACGGGTTTCGTAAATTTAGTATTAACCCTTTGCACTTGAGTGGTGACTCTGACGCACCACTAAAATTGTTACACCACGTCCTAAAATAATTTTTACACTATGAAAACTTAGATATAAAAGTTTGTTAAAAGTCTAACTGTTGTATGAGTCGCAAGACTCAATTTCATATGCATGAAATGAACTTTATTACGTAAAATGGAAATATTATAAGTCAGAAAAGTTAATTTAGATTTCCAATTAAAATGGCTTCGAGTGCAAAGGGTTAGAACCGCACGTTACCATGGAGAATCTTCTCAACATACAATTTTATGAGTGCACGCCATCAATTCATTATACTCTTACAATGACTTTCTTCGTTGTTCTATTACTTGGTGATTACTACAATTTTAAGAACGTGTTCTACCCGTTCGAATGACAGAACAGTTTTCCAACATGATTCGCTACTCTACATAGCTATTTTTCTTGATCAAAGCCTCTCGGATCATGACAGTCACTGTCATCCGACAGTCACTATTAGAATCTTTATTGGTCGTAAAAATGGTTGCAGCATTGAGCCCGTTTCAACAAGTTTCGATCCATTAACAAAAACACCATTAGCTACTTAGAAAAGGTTCCGACTTCTACTTGCATGACGTTGCACAGTGAGAAGCAAATGAAGCT